CTTAATTTCCAAAGAGCTAAGCATTGCAGCCAAAGCACTACGTAAATACTATTACCTTTATATAATATCTTAATCTTGAAAAACATTGAAAAAAATAACTAGAATCTTTTGATACTTTAGATAAACTACTTTCTATAACTAAAAAACTGCAACAGATATTAGTAAAAAAAAAAATTGACAATATAAATGTTTCTATCAAAAAACATCATAATATCTTTTTGCTTTTAGAAACTCTTTAATAATACTTTTTCTATCACACAGTATCAGAATATATATTTGATCTTATAAACTTACATAAAACATCCTTTAACATTTTTAAAAACAAAGAAATAACCAACATAACACTAAAGACACAAATACCTGCAATAGAGAAAGACTCTATAGCAAAAGACTTATGAGCATACATTCTAATACAAACATTCTACAATTAGTAGAAAACATAAATAAATCAAACCTATATGAATTTAATAAAAATAAAAAAATCAACATTACTATTTATAACATCAGAGGCATTAATAATATACTAAAAATGCAAACCTAAATTAAATACTATGCTGAATCAAACTTATATATAATTTCTCTTACTGAAACCAAGCTAAAAAACTCAATAATGAAGTTACTAACTAATCTTCTATATAAAATCTATATCTCAAACTTTTTATCATACAAACCAAATCAACATAAAATCAGTTTAGAAACTGTTCTAATGGTTTGCAATCAATTGCAACTATATATTTACAAAATTAACACCTTTCAAAGAACAACTATATGTTTTGACTTCTTTTTTTCTAATACTAACAAATCCTATATTATTTTAATTTACCTTTCTTTAAATTACTCATCTTTTCTAAAAAATACTTAATCTTAACTATTTATCTAGATTACAGAAGCTAGGGTTAGAAACTAACATTTAATTATATTAGGTAATTATAATGCTAACCAACTTAGAGACAAACATCTTCTAATATTCACAAATCTAAATATTGTCAATTTAACAAGTTTATTAATCTTTCATAACATCTAAACATTAACATGACATAATCCAACTTTTGTTAGCAATATTGATAATTTCTGGATTTTATCAGATATATTATTAGCATTTAAACTTTTATCTTTAATTGATGCTTCTTATATCTCAGGCAGTGATCATCACATTTTAAATATAACTTGGTATACAAACTTTTTATTACAAAAAAATTCTAAAAACAAAAAGAAAAAAATATATATATCTGTTTGAGAAAATAATACTAGAAACTAAAAAAAAACTTTGAAGATTCACTCAATTTACAAAATATTCAAATATTAAACATGAACTAAAATAATATAAACAAATTATAGAACTTTTGGGTAATGAAAATTAAAGAAAAAATAAATAAACATATCCTATATACTCTTACTACTCTAAACCCTTTTTTGCATTTTTACTAAAAATAACCAAACTACATTCTGTTTTAAAAAATATTAACAAATACTTACACTACCTCTCAAATAACTTATTAATTGACTTAACTAGAGTAAACTACTTTTTATTAAAGGCAGTTGCTCTTACAGAAATAGACATTTCACAAATTTTACAAGCATAATTAAATCTTAATCTACCTGATCTTATAATACAGATAAAACAATATAAGTACACAATATGGTAAATATAAAATTTTGAAAAAAAACAAGAACAAAGTAAAAGAATCTAGTTTTATACAAGCCAAAGATATTCAGACTTCAAAGATAATACTAATCATATACTAGATAGTATTCTTAAAAAAAGAATAGAACTAACAAACTTTAAAAAAATTATATCCTTCAACAAGATAATTACTAACAAGAATGGAATCAAAAAAATCACATGCTTACACTTTAGAAACTGGACTAAAAAAAATCCACCCAATTATATTATCTGAAAGGATTAGGAATCAATACACAATCCATTTAACAACATTAAAAACAATATCTATGACAACCTTCTGTCTCTAATCATTCTGACTGAACTTAAACAAACTATAAAAGAAACTTCTAAAATAAAAGCAACAGGACTACTAGGAATTGCAAATGAGGTTCTTTAACATTTACCATCATCAGCTCTCCTATTACTACTAGAAATATTTAACAAATACTTGATACAAGAATGCATTTCGGATCAGTGGCTACAAACCAACATTTGGCCAATTCTAAAAAAACAACATTATAATTACAAACTTAACTCTACATAACCAATAACATTAATTGATCATACTAGAAAAATTTTTATAAAGATTCTAAAAATCAAACTAACAAATAAGTATTGTCGCACGAAACCAAGAAGTTTAATTTAAAGGGCATTTTTAATTTCGCTGGTCGTGACAGTCACCGAGTTGCAGATGAACCTCGACGATCAAAAATTTAGGCCAAAATTGCACAAAATTTTACTAATAAAATCGCGGCCGCCTATTAAGTGAAAAATGTTACCGGCTAATTTATCATTGAACAGACCCAAATCTTAAAATTTTCCATTTTTTGGAATTAAAAAATTAAAAAAAAAATTAATTCTGACCAAAATTATGTATATGCGGGCCAGAATTTCATCAATCACAGCCGTTGGTCAATAAAAATCGGAGATCATCCGTATATTCGGTAAATTAGATTTTCATTAATTGTAATTTTTTGATCGCATGATATTTAAATCAAATGATGCAATAATTCTGGACAAACTTTTTGTAAATTTTCTGAAACTTATGGAAAATTACATGTAAGTAATGTAATTTATGTAGCACATAAATTACAATTTTTACATTACATGTAATTTTACGTAAGTTTATGTAATTTTCATCGCATCATTCATAAAGTACCAGATTTACAAAATTCTGCCAGCACTATTGCCGACGATTTTTGAAAACTTCAAAAACTGTTTTTTTGTTACACCTGATCTCAATTTAATTGGTAGACGAAAGGTGGCGTAATCGACACAGTCCAATTAGAGAACTGTCCAATTAGAACCGTGGGGAGAAATTAGGGATCCCCTATCGCTATTGCATCATTTGATTTGAATGTACGATCTAAATTGTAACTCCTAAATCGCCGAAAATGTGTTCAAATTACAATTACATGAAATTTTAATTTACTAAATCTTACACAAAGTTCTGAAGTTACGTAAAATTACATAAATTGCTGAAATTTAACATCCCTACCTATACCCAGGAATGGTAAAAAATTGTTTTTTAATGATTTTTATGTTTTTTTAACCTGATTTAATTATAACATTGTTGATTATGACTGAAATCGAAATTACTGCACCTGATTGGATAATTTTAATTTCAGTATTGCCGTTATATTTAAGTAATATCATGAAATCATTAAAATCACATCGCATAATCTGAAATAAAATTTACCCGGTTATCAATGACGATGATTTAAATCATAAAAAAAAATCGTTTTATTAAAGCAATATAATATTGATTTAAAACATTGTGTTTTAAATCATTTGCAATCCCTACCTATACCTAGGTTTACATAAATTGACCGACCGAATATTTGCTGATTTGTTAAGTTTTGATTACAGCTGTTATCATAAATTCTGGGACACCTGGCAAAAATTAGCCGAATGATTTTTCGGCCGATCCGGTTAGATAATATAGACCAGGGTAAAATCGTCACCCAAAAAAGCTTCGTACATTACATGACTAATATATCGAGCACTAAAAATTCATGTAACTTAAACAAAAAATTCAGAATAACAAAATTATATGATAAACAATAAATTAATCATTTTATTTATTCAATAAACGTACAACCAGAAAGTATTATGATTAGTTTTTATAATTTTATTTCGATTTTCATTTTTTTTACGTTTATTATTAGTGGGAATTTGGTTACAGCAATCAACGTATATTTTTAGGATAATGTGTTTATTGGATTTTATGTTTTAACAATCGCTTTTCACTTTGAAGTATCGAAGAAAAAATTACTTACTACAATTATATTAATATTTAATGATTGATGATTTGACAATATCACATGATTTTCGAAACTTTTTTGGGTGGCGATTTTTATCTTGGTCTATATTATACCGAATACTGCCGAAATTAATTACTTAACCGGATCGGCCGAAAAATCATTCGGCTAATTTTTGCCAGCTGTTCCAAAATTTATGATAACAGCTGTAAGTAGTGATAAACTTTTGATTTGGATGTAATCGCATCCGAGCCAAAAGTTGTTGAATCGGCAAAAACAGCTGTAATGGGCTGATTATATAACGGGATCAGGTGCAACGATCGTGTAACCCGAAAACTGGAATTTTTCAAAAATTTGGGATAGTGTCGATGAAACCACCTTTAGCATTCTAATGATTATTAACCTTAGTGTTTGTTTTGATAGGTTCCGTATCACTTCACCGACACTCATTTTGTAGACATAACATTTTACCGAAAAAATTTGCCGACCTATTTTATTTCACCGAACGGCTTATTTCATTGAAGCTCATTTCACCGACATGTTTTTTTTTTATAATATTAACTCTAATTCTAACTTGACTCTAACGACAATGGGTGAAATAAACTTGTCGGTGAAAAATAAAACATATCGGAGAATTATTTTCGGTAAAATGTTATGTTTACGAAATGAGTGTCAGTAAAAAGTGAGTAGTACCAATTTTGATTGTATACATGAACTAGTCCTCGTTACGCTTTCAGACAAGAATAATTTGCTATATGGACTTCAATCCTTAGCTATGACGGACGTCAATTAATTTCGGTTAGTTACGGCAAAATCTATTGTCATGACACTGATTTTTAATTACGTGGCAATGATATCATGTAATTTTCGTCGTGACCGTAACTGTAACCACAAATTTGTTGTATGCTATTTGTATGCTGCAACACCCATTATGGTGATTTTAGTTGGAAACGAGAGAAATAAGATTTATTTGTCTCAAAAAAAAAAAAAAAAAGATAATACAGTATTAATGAATGTAGATTGAACTTTACAGTCGAAAACATAATATTTTTTTTTGAAATAAATAATGCTAGAATTTAAACCGAAAGCTTTTTTCCAATATGTCTTATCGATCGAAATGCTGTTTTATATTCAATAAGCTCATCTCCAACTTTATCAAGAACTTCATCGTATTTTTCATGACTAATACTAGTATATTCAAGAATTATGAATTTTACAATTTTAAAGATAATGATAAATTTTTGTGTTGACTACAAAAAAAAAAATATTTTTTTTTTTACAAATTAAATCCAAATTTATGCGAAATCTTAATAATAATAAAAGAAAAAGAAAATTTACCAATTCCGAATCAATAAAAGGTATGACTTTCTCTTCAACTTGATATTCAAGCTTATTTTCTTTGAATAATTTTGTGACATTTTTATAAAATTCATCAGGGTAAATTCCATGATTTAGAAAATAGCTAGACACTATCAAAAGAAATATTATTTAGATATAAAGTTATACAGTACAAGCAATAAAATTCAATAATAACAATAGTAATAATAATAATGATAATTACATATATCAATAAGGAACTGGGTGTTAGGACCAGTATTTAGGATTACAGTATCATATTCTACACTTTCGATCCAACCACCAGGTTTTAAAACTCGTAACAAATCTAATGAATGAAAAATGTATAAAAGAAATGCACATTAAAAAAAATTTATTTGCGTTAATTAATTAATGAAAAGATATATTTCATTAAAATGATTTTTTTTACCTGGAAATAATTTATTACGAACATCTTTTGTTGAAATATACCATAACAAATCTCTAACGTGAATATAATCAAAATAACCATTTGGATATTGTAATCCATCCAATACATCAGCTTGTGTAAAGCTAACATTTGATAGAATATTTTTTTTTGGAGTTATAATATCCATCCCGTAAAAATGTGAAAGAGGATAGGCTTTTGCCTTTAAATTCAAGTAATTAGATGTGTTAAAAGAAAAAATCGATAAAACATGATTATAATTAAAACATGATAATAAATATATGATAGTTAATATTACCATATCATAAATCCACGTGCCAAAACCACTACTTTTTTTGAAAATAAGATTTATAAGATAACATTCAAATAAAGAGATTAATACGTGCAAAACATACCCAAGATCGAGAACCGTGGCATCACCACCTATTAACTTGGATTCGACCGGAGCTAAAAAATTTGAGTTCCAGACTCTTAAAAGAAATTCATGCTAAAAATATATAAGAATGTAATTAGTTACGATTTAAATGAATAAATGACAATGATAAAACGAAACTAACGTGTTTTTGTTCCTTGGCTAAATCACAGTCAACCACGGGGAAACCGGTATTTGAATTCGTAGTTTTGCTAAGTTTACGATTATAATTATGATTATTTACACCGCTAGAGACGGAATTACCATCATTTATTTTATTTTTTTTGATTTTTATTAATGTTGAAAGTTCACTTCCCATTAGTTTTAATGTTATAAAGAAACCAAAGATATAAAGTTATAAAAGTAATGGAATAATAATATAAAATTAAAGGAATGGACGAAATAAGAATTTCGAGATAAGTTTCGAGAATTAAGAAAGAATTTGATGGTGAATAATTTTTGAGCGGAAATTCATGCTCAAATACTAGAACCATCAAGAATCAAAAATAAATTACCACCAATGAGGAGAATTTAAAATTGATTATCATGTCATGCTAAATTACTTGTGTAATCGTTGTACGTAAATTATATAATCAATAGATTTGCAGACTAAGAGGCTTACATTTCATTGCCAAGTTAACTTGACATATAAGTAAATTTAAGGGTTAATATACACATCAATTTTTGCCAATCATGTAAGAGAATGTTTACAAAATTCGCCCAAGTTTGTTAATCGGAGTATATTAATGTCGATTAATACTTATTGATACACTGATTAGCGAACTTTTAATTTTTTTTTAAATCATTAGCCAATTTTTTATGGAATATTTCCAAATAATTAAATGATTTCTATAAGAAACCATTCAGGACAAATTATTTTCGTGATGAATCTATTGTGTTAAAACAATTATTAAATGTATGCATGCACGTTTTGTGGTCCATGCGTAATTTAATTAATATAATTGTGAGTGACCAACATTAGGTTAGTACCAATGTGAGGTTAAATAGCATTTTAATGATAACTAATCACCAACGGACTTTAAATACTAATTACCCTCACGTTAGAGCTTGATTCCTCACATTTGTGTTAATTAATCCAGATATAAAAACTTTCTATCCAAATATTATTCAAATATAATTTTTATTATTCATTTATCACACTTAGCACTCGAAAATAAAAATAAATGCAAATAATTTCGGATTTACCAAACATGTATTATGCAGTTACATAATTACATATAAGATTATTATTAAGATTTATGCTTATATAAAAATCTAGATTTGTGGTGTCTGTTTATATAGTGGTACAATCCATTCTTTAGTGTTGTGTGGCTTGACTTCTGTCTTGCAAAATAATAGTTTGTATTTATTAATTGGGCTTATTAATTTGCTAACAATTATTATAAACAACATTTGGAATGGTTATTATAATTGATGTAGATTATTTACACAGATTTTCCAGTTAAATTTCGGAATTCTTATTTGTGCGACACTAAATTCGTGAAATTAGTTAGCTATATGTAAAATTTCATTGCCGTTATGTTTAATTAGAATTAGTGCTCTAAGACAGATTTAACACTTCTTTTTTGTATTTTTTCGCTTATTTTCTGGTTTATTTGCTCACATGTTAGACTAATTCAATTTTACATTCACCGATTGGCTAATTTCCCTTTAGGGGTTGTATCACAAGCATTCACTTATTTTAGTGAATTAAATTCCTAAAAAGGAAACAACCAATCAATATATTCAAATTTTGACTTCTTATTCAGCCGAAAGAACATGCGCAAAGAAAAACATTCGGAACCTAATTTTTAAATTAATCTTTAACATGATAAAAATGAATTTTACTTATATTAAGCTATAAATCTAATGTGTCCTAACCTTAAATTTACCTGATTCTTGTATTAAATTATCGTTTTTGATTCACGAAAATAACGTAAGTAAATCTGTCTTGTACCTGTAATCCAGGTTACACAAACTATTCTAAAGATACTTCCCATAAATGGTAAAAGTGCGTATTTACGTATGTACGTACAGGGGATAAATAAATCGTAAGCTTATAATTGACTTATTTCCCGATAAATTTCTGATCATTGCCATATTTGACTGCTAAAGCCGTTTATTTAATCTGAGTACTATATGTTTACCTGGGTCCTATTTATTTAATTGGTGATATCACAACCTTCATTTTCCTTTTTCACGGAAAAATATAAGATCACTGAGACGAATTGCACCTTAGAAAAGAATAAAGGAAGTATACTAGTGCTAATTTTACTGGCACCCCTTAAATTAACTTTAGAATTTGTACGTAGTTAATTTTCATTGGTCTTTTCTACCGGAATTTGTCCTTTACGTTCCGGACGGTTAATAAAACAGTCTAGGCTACACTATTTTCAAGTTACAAAACCAATTTCGAAATTTTAAAGTAAAAATCATACGATTTTTTTTTGATAAGCGCAGTTCGTTTATTATCTTATACGGTTAAGGTTGATTAAATCACTTACGAATTATAATTAAAATCTAAATTACATCCGGAATATATTAATCCCTTATTGTAAAAATAAATACCTGTGAATTAAGTTAATTGGTTTATTTTTCTGTTACCAATTTCATTTAACACATAAAAAAAATTGAATATAAAATAAGCAAATATTTAAATAGGACGCACGTATATAATACGTATAAATTATTGTTTTGTGAAATATGCTTAAATATAATTATTATAATTTACATTCGAAATAAGTCATGATCGTAGTCGACCAAAATTTTAAATGCTTAGTCGATCAGGTCTGCCGATTATTATCGAATACTACTGATAGTAACTTAAAATTTGAATGTTCGAATGCCATTTTTAAAATATATACATTATTAAGATATTTGCGTGCTAAAACAAGGTGTTATTGTTCTATTGTCCTATTTAAAAGTTTTTATTATTAAATTATTGTTTATTGTACGTATTTATTTAGTTTTCAATCCAATATATATATATTAAAATAATTATATACAAAATATTTATATTTTTTACCGGGGATATGGTATATCAATCTATAACTGTTACCCTAACTCTAAATTTCATAGCAAACACAGATGTGGATATTGATAACCTAGTATAAAAATTAGTTTTTTTAATAAATATTTATTTTAATTTTAAAGAAGTTATTAATAATAAACTTGTACGTATAAAATTGGACTCATAAAAAGACATTCATATTTTATTGGCTAATTTTTGTAGATCTGCCCCGTGATTTTCGTGAAAATTTACTGATCAAATTACATGATTTTTAAAAGAATTATTTAATCATTCTAGTACTGCTTGAAACCAAAAAAGAACTCCATATAAAGCTTATAAATTCCTAACTACATAGACGTAAAATGGTATATGTGATATTTATTGTTATAAACCCTAACTAATTAAAGGATCTGCATGTTGGGATATTAATCGGTCCGTCCGGTCCCAGGATTGAATTAGAATTAGAGTAGATGGATCGACTATTCAAAATATTCTCAGGCGCTTTCCCAAATACAACTTAAATTAAATATATGCTTCTAGTTACTTTATGCATCAATTCTCCTGATTTATGATATTATTCATACATTATTGTGTAACTTGAAACTGCTACCTTATAAAAGTCTTCAGTCTCGTGATTCCAAACCAAACACAACACAGAATCGGGCGTGTGAATACCAAATAAATTCCAAGTTTTTTAAAAAAATTATTTATAACTCAGAATTTCACCTAAAACCTACTTATTGTATCTTAACAAAAAAAATTCTTGAAAGATTTTGTTATATTTAATGGTTTTTCTAATGCCATTCTAATGTTTATCCTTATTTTATTATTTAAATCAATAGTTTGCCTAATCTATTTTAAAAGAAAGGAACTGGCATGATGTTCAAATGAATTGAAAGACTGTTAATACGAACCAGATCAACTAACAACTCTATCTACAATACATAAATTAAATTTTAATTTACAATTAACAAATCTAAATATATTACAAAATTTATTTAAATTAAATTAAATTTTTTATCATTAAAAAAATATCAATTTATTCAAATTAAATATTAATGAATTTGAATACTATAATTTAATGGTTAAACTTTTAAACTCTTACAGACAAGGTCAATGGTTTGAGACTAACTTGAATTAAAACTGAATTTTTATTTTTGTAACTTAATAAAGCCAAAAATTGAATATGAAACCTTATAAAAAAGTTTAAGTACAAATACAAATTTAAAATAAAAATTCTTAACAAGATACTTGTAAAATGTAACTATTATGCGTAATAGTGATGTTATAAAAAGTCTTAATTATATACTAATTGTCATATAAGTCTTCAAAAATAAGCAATACTAACATTCTTGTATCTTCTAAGTAGGCAGTACCACCATTTTTATATTCAACTCATAAGGTAAATACTTGTTATAAAAATAATTGTTAACTTATACAAATAAAGTTTAATCTAAACTCAAAACAACCTGCTAATAAAATTAATTACTAATCAATTGATTAGAGTAGGTCTCTTATACTAACTTGATCAAATTTAGAAAATATTAAAATAACTTACCAATTAGTTTATTTTAATCTGATTGTATATAATTTGAAAAATATTTATATACAGAGTTTATATTAATTATATAATTAAATTAAGCATAAAAATAATTATTTTTACATGTTTTGTGTATCAAATTTATTCAACTGATTACAAACTGAAATTTTAATATATCATGATCTAATAGTCAAAATTATATAATTTTAATACTTTTGATTGGTCTAAATTAGACAAATCAAGTGACACTAAAATTGTAATTCTGACTACTAAATCATGAGATATAACTATTTAATTAAAATGTTATGTATAAATTTGATTGTTAGCCTGTATAAATTTAACTGTCAGTTTGCATAAACTTAATATGCAAGACCTGTACTAAATTTGGATTTAAATTAATACCGGCATTTATAGTATTTATTTAAATAAAAATGGATCATACATTGGCAAAATAACTATTTATTCCACTGACTTTTGATTGTACTTTTAATGTTTAACACCATTTAATGACTATATTTTTAGAATGGGTGATCTATTTTCATCTATCCTAAAACAAATCCAAGTCTATAGCATTCTTTTAAAAATAGAATCATTGAAATAGCATCGGCCATCTTCTATTTATAGAATGGATCACTATATTAAAGGGATTATCATGTAGAAGGCAACAACATAATGTGTAATCAAACACATGTGAATGCAAGGAACGTGTGATAAACTTATCATTATGCCGCCCTAACAAATCGATAATCAATAAATTAACAAATTAAGAACATGATTCTGATGTCCCATAACGATAATGTAGATCTTTTTTGATTGTTTGATCAACAACAATGGGATATATATAACTAAATTTTGAAGATCAATATAGTATAGGCCGAATTTTAGAATCTATACAATACCAATTCAGTGTTTTATATAGTAGTGTAAGGTTATGAATTATAGCC